AGAAAGAAAAAAAAGATCCCACACACCCTGCTGTCGTCGACTCAACTACTTACGCCCTCGACCGCCGTCTTCATCCCCTCCCTTCGCATCTCCGACTCTCTTTTCTTCCCTCTTCTTCTCCTTCCTCTCGCCAGCTCTCCTCCCCCGACGTCCTCGAACCTCTCGAACCCTCCGTCAGCTCGACAAAAGAAAGAAGCTGGACTTTGCTGTTGTGCCGCCATCACCAACATCGCTCATTGCCAGGTCAGTAACACCATCACCAGAATCCATCCCACCACACCACCCCTGTCGTGTCATTCTGCCTTTCCGCCCGCCTTTCTGCCACCACCTCCGCCGCCTTCGCACCCGCTTCGATCGACATACGCACCCGGTCGCACTACTCGTCTCCCCCAAGGAGCTGGGGCTTCGCCAATTCAAAGGTCCACTATTTGTCTGGTGGTGTCCCCAGCTGCCGATGAGCAGTAGCCTCGCAGATCCAACGATTCCAGCTTCTGCGAACGTCGTCCTCCGACTCCCTCCTGAAATCTCACCTACTCCCCACCACAATTCCGACTCGTTTGTTTTCTGCCACACTTCCTCCTCCTCCACCTACACCTTGAAATCCTCACTTGGAGCAACTTCCTCTCGCGGGCAGACATCTTCTTCGTTGCTTCTGGCGTCCATTGTCTGCTTTGACAAGCTTGCTGACCGAGTTACCCCTCGCCAGACTTTTTTTCCCTTTCCCCTCCTGTTGTTGAGATTTCCCCCACCGACGAAGCTCGACTCTCACAATGCCTGCGGCCACTCCCTCCGCTAACGGTGCCAATGGCGCCAAGGCAGCCAGCGGCCTGTCTGCCAACGACAACATCACACGCTTCAGCGCTCCCAGCCGTCCTTTGAGCCCCCTCCCCGAACACGCTCTGTTCAACGACAAGACCAGATGCTTCGTCTACGGTCTGCAGCCCCGCGCCGTCCAGGGCATGCTGGACTTCGATTTCATCTGCAAGCGCAAGACCCCCTCCGTTGCCGGTATCATCTACACCTTCGGCGGCCAGTTCGTCAGCAAGATGTACTGGGGAACCAGCGAGACTCTCCTGCCCGTCTACCAGGAGGTCAACAAGGCCATGGCCAAGCACCCCGACGTTGACGTCGTTGTCAACTTCGCTTCCTCCCGTAGTGTCTACAGCTCCACCATGGAGCTGATGGAGAACCCTCAGATCAAGACCATTGCCATCATTGCTGAGGGTGTTCCTGAGCGCGTAAGTTTCTGCCATTGTCCCAGCCAACTGCTCGTACGAGACTAACAAATCTCCCAGCGTGCCCGTGAGATTGCCCACAAGGCCCAGCAGAAGGGTGTCACCATTATTGGCCCCGCCACCGTCGGTGGCATCAAGCCCGGTTGCTTCAAGATCGGTAACACCGGTGGTATGATGGACAACATCGTTGCCTCCAAGCTCTACCGCAAGGGTTCCGTTGGTTACGTCTCCAAGTCTGGTGGTATGTCCAACGAGCTGAACAACATTATCGCCAACAACACCGACGGTGTCTACGAGGGTGTTGCCATCGGTGGTGACAGGTACCCCGGAACCACCTTCATCGACCACTTGCTCAGATACCAGGCCGACCCCGACTGCAAGATCCTCGTCCTGCTCGGTGAGGTTGGTGGTGTTGAGGAGTACAAGGTCATCAAGGCCGTCGAGGACGGTATCATCACCAAGCCCATTGTTGCCTGGGCCATTGGTACTTGCGCCAGCATGTTCAAGACTGAGGTTCAGTTCGGTCACGCCGGTGCCTTCGCCAACTCCACCCTGGAGACGGCCAAGACCAAGAACGAGAAGATGAAGGAGGCTGGCTTCTTCGTCCCCGATACCTTCGAGGACATGCCCCAGACCCTCAAGGGTGTCTACGACACCCTCGTCAAGAACGGCACCATCAAGCCCCAGCCTGAGCCCGTCGTTCCCAAGATCCCCATTGACTACTCCTGGGCCCAGGAGCTTGGTCTCATCCGTAAGCCCGCTGCCTTCATCTCCACCATCTCCGACGACCGTGGCCAGGAGCTCCTGTACGCTGGCATGCCCATCTCGGACGTCTTCAAGGAGGAGATCGGCATTGGTGGTGTCATGTCTCTCCTGTGGTTCCGTCGCCGCCTTCCTCCCTACGCCTCCAAGTTCCTCGAGATGGTTCTCATGCTCACCGCCGACCACGGTCCTGCCGTGTCCGGTGCCATGAACACCATCATCACCACCCGTGCCGGCAAGGATCTCATCTCCTCGCTCGTCGCTGGTCTGTTGACCATTGGTTCTCGTTTCGGTGGTGCCCTTGACGGTGCCGCTGAGGAGTTCACCAAGGCTTTCGACAAGGGCCTGAGCCCCCGTGAGTTCGTCGACAACATGCGCAAGGCGAACAAGCTCATCCCCGGTATCGGTCACCGTGTCAAGTCCCGTAACAACCCCGATCTCCGTGTCGAGCTTGTCAAGGAGTACGTCCTGGCCAAGTTCCCCAGCCACAAGCTCCTCGACTACGCCCTGGCTGTCGAGACCGTCACCACCTCCAAGAAGGACAACCTCATTCTCAACGTCGACGGCTGCATCGCTGTCTGCTTCGTCGACCTCATGCGCAACTGCGGTGCCTTCTCCTCCGAAGAGGCCGAGGACTACCTCAAGATGGGTGTCCTCAACGGTCTGTTCGTCCTCGGCCGTTCCATCGGTCTTATTGCCCACTACCTCGACCAGAAGAGACTGCGCACTGGTCTGTACCGTCACCCGTGGGATGACATTACCTACATCCTCCCTCAGCTTGGCTCCGGCCCGCCAGGCACCGAGGGCAGAGTGGAGGTTCAGATGTAAGGGATTTAAGGTTAGCGGGGGAGGATCATGGGTCGCCACGGGATGTGGCTATAGAAATGGAGTAAATGATTTTAACGTCATGCGAGGGATGATGGTGTGCTAAATGGCGTCTTGTACGACAAGCTATATACGTGTAGTGCTGGTAGTCCTTAAAGGACTGCATTAATGGTTTTGCCCGTTTTCGTCATCCAGTGGTCTCGTTCTGGTGAATGGATTTGACACGCATTGGGTGTCCGGTCGGAGTCGGCTCCGGCGGGGCCTGTTGGATCAGAACGCGGCTACAAACAGGCTCACTGTGGGTGTCGCATGCGCAATCCAATGTTTCTCGGTCAGTTCTAATACTGGGCCTCTTGAAAGGCATTTCTAGTGTTGGTAGCCCTGCGGAGCATGCTTAAGGTTCGTATATATTTAATCCAGAGGCTAGCTTATACGAAGGGACGGGAAATAGCGTCAGCCATCGTAGTTCTGTTGGCATAGAGGAAAGTAAGCAGCGTTATTGGCCTTTCCGAGGCTTAAGAATTGACGCCGAGCCCTTTTTGCTTGCTCACGTTATGAGCTTTGAATCTTTGGAATATGGACTTGACGTTTAAAGCCATATAACTCATTCCTGCAGTGCCCGTGGAGGACGAAGACATGCATCTTCCGCTTACTATGCTTTTGTAAATACCTAAAGAAAGAAAATGACCAGATGATAACTCTACATGGACATTGCAATTTGCTTGCGATTGAAATTTGCGTCAGATGTTAAGTAATTACAAGATATGACGAGTTGTTGTAAATACAAGTGAGGACCGTGAATTCTTGCGAAAATATTTTAACAGTCATGATGAAAAAAAATTGAGTCTCGTCCTGCGTGCATGCGCGCATTCGTATGTGACCCGATTTGAACGCGTTCACCCACCCCGAGGGAGCAAAGAGCCGGGCCCACTATCCGGCAAACTCCGTCCGATGGATGCACGGACCACCAAAACCCCAACGGGAGCTTCAATGATTTTTGGATCCCTCCAGACCAGAATCAGCGACAGGGTGCTTAAGCCTCACGACAGTTACGACGGGACGAACGGAACTGCCACGGCAGATAGTCAATTGTATGCTCTCTTTTCTACCAAATTCGATGACCTGGCCGACCTAACTCTCCCCGTCACAGAAACACCACCACCCCACGACCAACGACGCCAGCGACCGAGGCGCAAATCGTCCACCCATCTACCTACCCACGACACACAGCTACCAAAGTCGCGCGATCGCAATGTCCTTCTTCCGCATCACCCTGCACCGCTCGGCCATCGGCCTGCCCAAGAACACCCGCGGCGTCCTCGAGGCCCTCGGCCTCCACCGCCGCTCGCAGACCGTCTTCCACCCGGTCAAGCCCGAGTTCGCCGGTATGATCATGAAGGTCAAGGAGCTGGTCAAGGTCGACGAGGTCGACCGCCCGCTGAGCAAGTTCGAGATGAAGGAGGCGAGGAGGCCGGATCCCGGGTTCTACGTCGAGAAGGCTGTTGCGCGGTGAGATATTGGACGAATGGGCGCCAACGGAGGGGAGAGAGAGGAGTGATGGGATGGGGATCAAAACCGACATGCGAGAAACATCGTAGAGGATACTGCGGGGGAGGAGGGTGGCCAGATATCGTTGCTCTGGTTATGGGACTTTGGAAAGTCCAGTCGTGTACTAGCATCACGATCTGTACAAAACATGGCGGCATGTACAACACCTGCGACTTGAGAATCGGCGCAGTCTTTAACACAAGAAGTAAAAGTTCACTCAATTCCATGATTCTCTGATTCGTCTGTTCTATTGAGCCTGGGGTTGCTATTAATGACCAAGGCTACCTGACTGGTTGACCGTTTGCGGGGAATCACCAAAAAAGTGACTGAAAAGACTAATGCTAAGAACCATGGCCGATTTCCCTCTCCCATCGCAGAGGTTCCCTGAGCAAACAAAGCTCCGCGGAAAGTAATTACGTATTTTCTCAGCCTCTATATCGGTTGAGCGAACCTGAGACTAGCAGTCTCCTCTCATGATGTCCCTTCTTCTACTCTCAAAAAAACACTTCCCCTCGAAGATTGAGAGCAGGGCCCAAAATGATATGAAGGGCGTGTAACAAGTTGGCAAATCGAATGCTATCAGTGAGGCTTACGCCCGTTGAGCAGATCGATGGCAGGTACATCCTTTCTCTAGAAACCCCGTGCCTTATCGATGTACTCCTGGGAGGGCGTCTCGTACTCGCTGACGAAGTAGTTCTTCGCGTGCTTGCCAAGCCAGACAGTGAACTTGGAGAGCTCCTCGCGAAGACGGCCAACGGACTGAGAATCCATGTTTGTCTGGGCAACCAGCTCAGGTAAGGAAACTGCTTCTTGTTAGTGCTGGTACTCGGTGGGGAATTTGGTGAACTTACCCATCAGGCGGCACAAGTGCTCGGAACCATAGGTGTCGCACACAGACTTGTTCTTGTCATTCTCACCGGCCTTCTCCCATACCTTGCGGATCTCGTGGTATTGGGGGCGCTCAAAGCTTGGGTGATATTAGCTTGGTGTGTCAATTGTCACTTATCAGCAGGACTTACCGGTACAGAAGAATGCGGCTGAGTGACTTCTCAAAGTACTCGCGGAGACCAGCGAGGACTTCCTCGAGGATGTCCATGTTGGCTGAGCCGTCCTCTCTGTTGGGCTTCTCGAAAGCCAAGTAGTCGTTCAGGATCTCATCGACAGGATGAGGATGGGGAAGAGGAACCAACTGATTGTTCTTGGTGATGTTCTCCCAGTCGTCCACAAGCATCGCCTTGATGTGATCAGGAATGGGCAACTTGATGGATGGACGAGCATGAAAACTATCCTCCTGTAGACCTATTAGTATTTTCACCAGGTGTAATCTGGCAATGGCAGCATGGGAAAAGCAAAACAAAATGCCGTAGCCACTGGGCTCCTGGCCGTACGATTTCTCCCAGTTGCCTGTCGTCCAACATACGGTTTCTGGTAGCCGTGGGGTTGCAAGGTCATAATGCTCTGAGTTGACTTCTTCCTTTGGCTTTTCCGGCGGTGAGTTGGCACCTCGCTTCTGACGGACAGGCTGTTCCCTCTTGCGGGGCTTGGGCTTGAGAGAATAGCGACCGTCGAAGTTGGTCCTTCCATCTTTGGTGACATATGTCTTGGTGCGAGGAGCCGGCTGGCACAAGTAGTCCGCAGCCAGGCGTGGTTCCTTCCAGCCAGTGTTTTTGGAATCGCGCGCTCGCCGCCTTATGGCATCCGCTGGTCGAGGTTTGCGGATGCGTCTTTTCCCCGTGGTGCTAGTCGCCATGATGTGTGTGATTGAGAAGTTATTAAGAGGGATGGCGAATTAAGTTGAAAAGAGCAAGTTGCAATTAGTCGAGGCGGCAGACTTTTTGATGTGAAAGGCCAAGATGGAGAACCAGTTGTGGTTTGGAGGCTTCGGAGATGTGAGATGTGGCTTGGGCAAGTGCGTTCTTGGGTAGTTCCTGCCAAAGCGTCGAAGCCGGTGCGGAACCAGCCGCGTGGTATCTGTTGTGCAAATTGCGTGTGAAGGATTTAGATCGAATTGCTGTGTTTCCGTCTGACGTTGCGTTCAAATTCGAAGAGAAATTCGACGCTGTCCTCCCGCTTTCGCTTGTTGCTCTCGCGGTGAATGACTGCGCGACACAGCGAGTTTACCTGGACTGAATCTTGCAGGGCCTCTAGCGATTCCGACCTCTCACGCTTTGAAGTGTCGGAGAAGGAAGACAGCTGAGTGTCGATGCTGCTACCACTGCTGTTTGTTGACGAATCCCAGGCTTGACATTCAAAGAGGAACTCAACGCTGGAGTCACTGGAATCGCTGAGGTCATTCCAGTCATTGACAACGCTGCCAGGGCTGCCAGGGCTGCCAGGAGTACCAGCTCTGGTTCGGGGCGAGATGGGCGCGTCCTCGCGCTGCCTTGGCTCTTGGTGCCAGTCAACAGCTCCCCAACACTCGAGAAAGTCGTCGTGGCGGTATGCATTGTCGTCCAGAACCTCGTTATCGTTCATATCATCGTACCACCAAGACTCGTCATCCTCGCAGTCTCCGTCGTAACAGTCGTCTTGGACGGCGGCTCGGCGAAGAACGTTCTCGTCGACACCGTCGTAGCCAGAGTATTCGTCAGCGACTCTGTAGTCGCGTCCCTCTAGTTCTCTGAGAAGGTCGTGAGGGTCGATTTCGAAGTGGCTTGAGGTGTCATTTTCGCTGTCTCTGAGGCCGGCGGGCTGGCTCGACTCGGCTTCGCCGTCCTCTGCGTATCCGGTCCAATCGTCCTCGCCAATAGAGGGGCTGCCGTCGCCAACCAGCCACTGCTGACGCCTGTACACGTAGTCCTCTTCCTCCTCGTCTGTAGATGATTCGGGCCGACGATAGTCGCAATCCTTCTCTTCTCCTTCGTTCTCATTCTCTTCCACGACCTGCTGTTGGCCGGCCATGACAGGGGTGCGGTAGTAAGTCGAGAATCGAGCGAAAACCTCTGGTGAAGGTTCACGGGTATGAAGATTTCTTTGCTGTTCGTGCCTCCAGCCACGCTGGCAATCGGCCGACACCCAAGACACACTCATGTTGGCGATGGGAATTTCGGTGTGGATGAAATTATTGAAGAAAAGAATTACTGAGAAAAGAAGACCCGAAGCTAGCGGGTTGTATGTTTTGGCGCTGAAAATTTGTCGAGACCAGCGACCAAGGTATTGGAGAAAGGATTTGGTTGTAAAAGTGGTTGGCGAAAAGAATTTTGTCGAAGGAAAACTGCTCGTGGGCAAGAACGTCGAGGGAAGTAAAGACCCTTTCGCCTTCCGCTTTTGCAGTCCTTCAGACGAAAAGCGACCCAGCCACCTCGAAAGGTCAAGGCCTTCGCACAAAGGCCCAAGGTGAGTGGTTCTGCATGCCCTCCGGGTCTGCATGTCGACCTTGATAGCCCCACCCGACCTGAAGCTATTCACCCCTTGTTGTCCCCCAATTCGTGTCCTCTTTATCGTGTCGTTTCACGAAACATCATGACGTGCCCAGACCTTGCAGACACCCAGAAATGGCCCAGGCGGGAGAAATCGAGGCCCGAAGGACGCAGACAAAGAAACAATACAGAAGGAAAGGACGTTTCAAACTCACCTGTTCCAGATCAAAATCTCTCGCCCGTCGAGGGCCACGACCGCTGGCAGCAACTCCCGCAGTCCGCTCCTCACTACCGCGGGCTGAATCGGTTCCGTTGGCGCGAGCTCCCTTCTTTGGGGCCTTGGCACTGCTCTTCTGGCGGAGATCCTTCATCTGGGCGTGCAACTGGCTGGCCAGCTCCTTATTCTCCTCAGTGAATTTACGAATGCGGTCGATAGAAACCCAGTCGTCCCAAGTGTTCTTCCATCCCTTGTAATGGATGCGGTACTGAAAGCCTTCGCCAGATTCAGCGGTCTGGATGTCGAGAATTTTTGCCTCATACAGCATCTCGCCGTGGAAGCAGAGGACCTTTTCGTCCTTCGCGAACGGCTGGGGCGGTTGGCGTGCGGGCGCCATTACTACTGCAGAGTGTTTGGTGATGTGTTTAGGTTCAGCTGATGGAAAAGCTGTTTTGCTAGGCCGGAAACCCTTGTTTGAACCGGAGCTTGATGGCTTACGTGGTTGACTGAATGCTCGGTCAAAGGGGCGATGAGGTTAAATTCTCGGACAGTGTGCAGGACGAAGATGCACAGTCGACGATGAGATTAGACGACCTTGCAGGCAGTCTTCTGGGGCCTCGGCCACTGGCACAGTACGAGATGTCCACTTGACGCGGCAGCTTGGACAGATCCGGACGACAGTGTTTGCTGGGCCGCTAGCACGGTATGCCTATCTCTCGGGTCAGTTATTTGTCATTATCAAAAAGGATCATGGAAGAAAGCAGAATCTCACCGTTGATTACCAGATATGCGGAGTATTACTATCCACGAAAAGAGCTGTTGTTGGAGTTTTTGGCTTGAGGTAGTCTCGTGCTTGTATGGGATGAAGATGGCAGAAGAGAGGCACTTGAAGGGTAAAATGTGCCACGGAGCACGGAGTGAAACGCGCTGGGCTCATTAACGCGTCCCGCTGGAGCAAGCGCGTGTTGTCCGGCACTTCCCTGATGGACTGCCTACCCGCCTTAAATGCATATACCTATTCTATGCAGCTAAGACATGAGGAAGGATCAGGGGTACCTTGGGTAGGAACCGTACCCATGCACGCTCACTTGCCTCGCTCGACTTGCATCTCATGTTGCTTTCTGGAGGTAGGAGCAGTCGGATGCTAGACAAAAGTACTTAAATGCAGGTGTTCGCTCCTATGGCTGCGAAGCACCCGGCTACGAGGCTCCTCGGCTCTCGTTCTGCAACTCAACCCGTCGCACGGTTCTTTCCTCACGATGTTGGCTAAATTGGCTCGGAAACTTCACAGGCCTGGCTCGTCGGCATCCAGGCAGCCACAGCCAGATTCGTCCCCCTCAGCTCCAGAAGCAGACCTTCCAGTGATTCCAGCAATCCCGGCAATCTCAAACCCTCGGTCGCGACCGATTACGCCTCCTTCCTGTCAACCAAGCGGCAACTTTGGACTCTTCGAGCGCATCCCCCTCGAGATCCGCCGGCAGATCCTCATTGAAGCGTTTGGAGAGCAAACCATCCACATTGATCTCGTCTACGATCGCCCTAGGATTGAGCAGCGGGGTGCACCAAACAAGGAACATCGTTTTCGTCGAGCACCGCGGCCCACCGGGAAAGAACTAGCAGACGCGCCTGCCTTGTACAAGCTCAAAACGAAGCAATGGCAGTGGTACAGCTGCGTCTGCCATGCTAAAATTCCCTCGGGTACATCTAGCTGGTCACGTTTTAGTGAGCCTTGTGATGATTCTTGCGCGAGCAACGACCATGTCTGTGAACATTGGCCCGGTGAAGCTCCCTCGAAATGTTCTTTGGGCATCATGGGCTGGCTGCTCAGTTGTCGTCAAGCGTAAGCCGTGGATCCGTCCCCATCTGGAGGCCTTCCCTTAACATGTGTTGCAGCTACGCCGAGGGCCTGGATGTGCTGTTTGGAACCAACACGTTCCGCATCCAAGACATGGTGATCCTCCGCCATGCACAGCAGCTCTTCCTACCGCATCGTTGGGCCGCTATTCCTCGGCTGGAGATACAGTGTTTCTTCTCTCCATACGGCTGGATGTTGCCTGCCGAAAACACGCCCTCTGTTAATCCATTACCTCTGTACTGCCAGAAGGAGCCCTTCTACGACCTGATGGGCCACCTGCCAGACGCTTTCCGTAACTTGCAGACCCTCCACATTTCCTTGAGAAGCACGACGGCGAGGGCGTTCTCTCCTTGGAAAATTGCCTATACTCATTTGCAAGAGCTCATGAAGCCTGTCGAAAACATGCTGCGGCAACTGCCTCCGACAATTCGTGAGTGCACCGTCGCCGTCCCTAGCTCCCTTTTTTGGCAGAGCCGCGACAAGGCGAAAGAGGATGGCCGTACGGTCGAGCACTTCTACAAGAAGCAAAAAGAGCGGCATTGGTGTGAGTTATCCGGCCCAAACAAAGGGATAAACGGATACTGGCTCCAGCTTGGAAAGACGGACTTGTCGGCCGAAACCATCCTACCTAATTACTGCTTTGGAAGTGGCGCAGGTCGAAATTGGAGAGACGACATGAACGTTAAGGACGAAGATCTCATTATCTACGGGCTACACTGGCTATAATCATATGAATAGGAACTCCTTTGAGCACACCATTATCATCTCAAGTTGGCACGGGTGGTCCGCCAGAGATTGTCGTCGCTGGACCGCTAATGCCAATGCAGTACCAAGTGTCTCTCCAGAGGTTCAAGCAATCTGTACCAACTGCCGGATTCCAAGCATAGAAGTCACTGAGGGAAGTTCAAGGTCAGCAGCACACTGGAGGGTAGGAGGGATTCAGTTGCTTACTTGAGGTCTATGCCAGCGGCGTTGGCAATAGCCCAGCAGCCGTCGCCGTCTAGAGTGAAGTAAAACCTGCGGCAACCAGACACCATGCCCTCCTATTACACAGAGTCAGCCGATTCTAACATATACGGAGTTTTAAAAAAAGCAAGGAGGGCCACTCGTACCTGAACTGGAGACGGCGTCTGAATCGTAGCCTCCGTCGTGGTTGTTGGAGGCGCCGAAGATGTCGTAGCAGTGATGGGCGGTGCAGTCAAAGTGGCACTTCCGCTAGATCCTCCAGTGGCAACACAAACATAGACGTCTGCCTTGAGGCCACTGCATGACGTTGTACCGAGGGCAGGGTTCCAAGTCAAGAGCTGCTCGACAGTGATGCCGTTGTGGTCGGCAATGCTGGCACAAGTATCGTCACTACAAAGACGTTAGCGCATCGAGTCCAGCTAGCATTGCGGGTTACGAGCTCACCTGGAGACCAGCCAGAAGCTACTGCAATCCGTGGCGATGCCTGTCTGAGTAGGCGTCCCCGTCGGAATGGACGGCTGATCAGGGTCGCTCGTGGGGTCCGTCGGCGTGCCAGGAATGGCAACACAGTACGACCACCCAGCCTGGATGCCAGAACAGTCACTTCCCACGCCGAGATTCCACTCTAGAAACTCGGCGAGCGAGAAGCGCCCAAATCGTCCAACAATACTGTCACAGGTATCGACTTTGGATGCCTGATACCAGATGGTACACAGGCCTGTGGTGCCGCCGGCAACATTGGAAGGCCGCGAGGTAACGGTGGCCAGAGGCGGCAGGTTGTCGGTGTCCAATGGATCGTATGCTGCTATGCAGTAAAAGTAGTCGAGCCAGAGACCGTTGCAGTTGCCATCGAGGGCCGGGTTCCATTCGAAGAATTGTTCTTCAGTTGAAACACCAAAGCCAAGGATCACTTGACAGTTGTCATCCTGTCGGATTTCGTGTTAGCAACACTAGAAAAGATGGATCGAGGGAACACATACCGCCTGCGCTTTGTAGAATGCCCGACAGCTTGGTGACAGACCAGGCTGAGTTGGCGAAGGCGTAAGTATCTCAACAGGGGGGAGAGATGTAGGAGTGTATTCAGTTGGCTCCGGAATGGGCGTTGTCGAACCGTTTGCAGTGGGAAAGTTGTATGAGAAGGTGGATGTCTGTGGTTTGATACTGACACAGACCCATGTGTCCCAGATCAAACCACCACAATCAGAACCGATTGCCGGGTTCCACGATAGACTGCAGAATCGAGTGTTAGAGCAGTCAAACAGTTCAAGGAATGGGGAGCGTAACATACAAATTGCTCATCGTGAGCTCCGGTCCTCCGTACGACTCAACGATGTAGGCACAGGTATGGGCATCGCCCACGTAGTGCCAGTCAATGCAGTCAGCGTGCTGCCCAGCCTGGGTCTTCTGCGGCGGGAACGTTGTGCCGATGGTTGTGCCGGTGATATTCCACTCGGTAACGGGCACTCGAGTTGAGTACGTCGCATTTGGCGTCGTGACAGCCGTGGTCTGGGTTATCGGCCCGCTGCTGGTGCTCATGACCGAACTTGTCGATGAGGTCGTCACCGCTGCGCCAACGCCAACACAGTAGGCATTCCCAAGCCAGAAGTTCGTCAGACAGTCCTCAGAGACGTCAGGGTTCCAGGCTAGAAAGTCCTCGGCGCTGATGCCGTACTTTTGCTGAATAGACCAGCAGCCATCACCGTCTACGACGGTGTGAAAGGCGTTGCAATTCGGCGCAATGTTTGGATGTGTTGGGCCGCCCGGCGTTGAGTCTTGAGCACCGACTGTTCCCAGCAGCACTCCGACATAGACGGCGACAAGGCTTCGAGATAGCATCATCGCAACGCCCATGGACAAGTTCTCAGGGTTGTCTCTGAAGTTGGGAAGTTGAGATATTCTGAAATTCTCGTTTAGCCCACTCGCCCTTCGGGAGGACAGAATAACTTACAAGTCAATCTTCGATGAGTCCACAGACACCTTAGAACCTTCGGAAGTATCGGTCGTTGGCTAAGCTGGAGAGTCATCTGTCCGTGATCACGCCCAAGTAAGGAACCCTTGATGAGCTTTCACATATCCGGGAACTAGATATTGATACCTCCGGACAGAATCCTACGTCTGGTAAATGCATAGACTTTCACGAGAACAACTGTAAGACTCGTCACTTCAGCCGCTCATCATCACCCCTGGTGGTGTGCAGCCTAATTAGCATGCGCCCACTTGAAATTAGACCTTCAGTCACAAGAGCCAGTAAGAAAAAGACCTCAAGACATTTGAACCGGTTATCAACATGCCGTTGGACAATAATTCAAGATCATGGTAGCATCTTGCCTTGCTGCCAAGGCGAATCTTGGATCAGGAAACTCGTAAAGCTGCAATATTCATAGTCGGTTCTTCAACTAAGAAATTGAAACGATGAACAAGGATTCGTTTTGAGGGGACGGATTTTGAGGTTCAAGTACCGGTACTGTCAGCATCAAGTTGCATTGAAACTCATTACCACGCCGCGCCAAGAATTATATCGGGCCAAGAATCGTCTCGGAGGGACTTTGGCACAGTCCTCCAATTGCCAACAGCAA